AAAAAATATTTAAAACTTAAGATTTTATAGATTTCTTAAAAATACATAATTTTTGATGAGAAGTGACTTGGAGCACTATAGCAATTCTTTTGATTTATTTCTTTTGTTTTATTTTATTTAACTTTCTTATTATTTTATTGTTTTGTTATTACTAATTTTTTTTTTCACTTAGAAAGATCGTGCTAGTATCTTTATTTAATCAAAACTAAATCTATAGAAATATTATAATATTAAATTCACAGATCTGACATTTTGCGGTTGCTTTGTATAATCTAATCGATTATCTACACGCACCTACAGATGATCTAATTGCACCTGTAAAGTATGATCAATTAAGATAATACCCTAACTGGAGGCTCGTCTGACCACTACTTTACAATAGGATATCACCAATCTGATGATATTTTCTCGTAAGGAAGTGGAAGAAAAAGAAAAATTTTTAAAGCAAACACAAAAGTATAGGAGAGTATATAAAAAAAACAAATAAAAGAAAAGAAAAGAAGTAAGGGAAAAACAAGAAAACTAAACTAAATATAGGATTTTTCATCCACACCAGACAATTACAATTATAAGCCTATGTCAAGCTTTTTAAAAATTATATACTACTATCTAAACTATTTTCTATACTAATTTATATACATAGTATTGTAATATAATCATTTTATTAGGCTTAACATTACGCATCATGATGATCATATGATGCCGATATACTATGACGATCACGTGACTGCTATGATGATCCTATTACTCTGGTGAACCCCTTGTTCTAACGGCTATTCAATTTTACTTTATATTTTTTTTATTATTAGTTATCTATATATTAAATTGTGTATTTATTGTAGTTACTTATCTATGTAGTTAAACTATAAGTTATTTATTTATCTATTTATCCAAGTCATATTAGTAGAACTATTATGCATAACATCATTACACATACGATCATTATGTATAAGATCATTACATATACGATCGTTATGCATAAATCATTATGTATAAAGATCGTAACGATAGAATTAACTCTAAAACCAGGAGTAAAAGTAGTCTAATAAACAAGTACCTAAAATAGATAGAAGAGTTAGTAATAAAATAGATATAAAAAGCACTTAAAAAGAATCTTGTAGAGGCAGATTTCAATATCTCAAAATACTTATCTTAAAAGTCTAAATAAAAATTCTCTTAAAAACCTAACTCTAACTTTATAATCGAATATTTCAATTACAGTATGTCTAAACTTAAAATCTAAAAAAACAAAACAAAGAGAAAGCTTTTTCGATATTAGCATCATAGAGAGGTCAAAAATTCATATCATTAAGCTCGAAATATCGTTTGTTCAGGTTGCTATATTCGAAGCACATAATTCAGTTATTCACATTTCTGTATTTATATGTTTGTTGTAATAGGTAATAAATATAAACAATACTGTCTAATTTGGTAAATAAACAATTAATTGATTTTTTGAAGAAGGTAAGCTAAATCAACTACTTTTTACAAAATTCTCTTTAAAAAAAAGTAGAGGGCTAATGAGAGTGTATAAAGTTCTTTTGTAAGTTTTATAGTCATATAGTTGTATCTTCAAGTTTATACTATTGTAGCGAGAGCTATTTTACTACTTGCTTTTAGAATAAATCTTCTAGTTTGAATACCAAATATCCTGGGGAGTCTATCAACAATACAAGAAAGCTTGACCCCAAGAAAAACCATTTAAGTTATACTCACTCCTCAATGTTTTACATCTTTCAAGCTTTGTTGACAGCAATCTGTTCAAAGTTAAGTTCAGTTTCTAGAATAAACCTTCTAGTTTGGATACCAAATATTTTGAGAAGTTCACCAAAAACAAAGATTTAACCCCAAGAAAAACTACCTAAGTTATGTCTGCTTCTCAATATTTCATGTCTACAGGTTTTGTTAACAACTGCTTACTCAGAGTCAGGACTACAAATAATATATTCTTGGACTTTTCTATAGTATTTTTTTGTAGTTTGGTTTTTTGTTATATTGTCCAGAAAGTTATCAGAAAGAGTTGTTAGTTTTGTTATTACTAATTTTCTTTAAGAGTATTTTAATTTTATAGAAGATTTGTTAACTTGTTATTATTTAGATAATATTCAAAAGTACAGACTAGTTTACATTGATCACTTCTCATATACTATTACTGTTATTTAATCTATTATATCTAATTTAACATGTATTTAGTATTATTCTACAACGCTTACTTCTTGTGAATATTTTGCTAACTTTTGAGAATAGTATTCTCAAGCCTATTGTATTACAATATATAGTCTATCTACCTATTCTAATTTTCAAAAACTAGCTACTGCTAACCAAGCAAAAATCTATATACTTGTTCAAAATATTATCTTTAGTTACCAATATCAAAGAGCAGTATCTAAATCTTGATTAACTACTCAACTTCTTTTTTAAAAATACATCTTCTATTATAATCTTTGCAAAACTTCTAATACTTATATTAATTATTATGATATTTTTATTGATAATCCTACTGTCACTCAATCTTATATTTAAACATTATATCAAGATGAAAAACAACAAACTCTAAGAGAGATTACTACTTCTATTCTACTTCCATCTTCTTCAAATACTGTTATATTAATATAAAATAGCCTATTATTGTCTCTATTTCAACATCTATTCCTATTACTTAGTCAGAAAGATGAGAAGAATCTTTTACCTCATCTGATAACTCAGAAAACAATTTAGAAGAAGCAACTTTATCACTTACTCTACAACCTTAACTTATTCAAAAAAAAATTTTTTTTTAAAACTTTAGCATCTATTAGCTCTTGTTAAACCAGATCTTCTTCTACTTCTGAAACACATTCGAAAAAAACTCAATCTATTTATACCAAAGCCTCAAATACAGAAAAAATATTTTATCACCAATATATACTGTAAACGAAGAAATTACTACAACTATATATTCATTTAAGCAGAACTATCAATCTCTTTAACTACAAATTAAAACATCTAGTTTGCTACCAGAATACCTTTATTCAAATATCCCAAATATCTCTAATTTAACTTCTACTTACTCTTTACTTTATTCACAACTTTCTGAAACAACTACTACATATAATTATCTTTCTCAAGAGAACCTAAACTTTTTTGAACAGCCAGAGTTAAAAAATTTATTTGAACAAAATCTTATATTTTAATCTAAACAAACAAGTTCTGAGCACTACCAAAATCAGATAGCTCTAATATTGAAGAAGAAATAAATATAGAAGATACTACTAAAGCCTTTAACTGATTAGCTGAAGTCCTTATTAGAGGAGCAAGAGAAGAAAAATCTCTTATTAAAATTAAACTATTTAGAGAAGATAGTACTAAGAATTCTATTAACCAGATTAATAAATTTGAGTGAGCTGTTACTGCTAATAATTGAAATGCTGATAAAAAACTTGTGATTGCTAAAGCTTATATATATAATAATGCAGAAGACTAGTTAAAAAGATTATAAGATAATATAATTAAGATATATGATACTGGTAATATTGATAATTAGTTTAAAATACTATTTTTAAAACAATTCATGATCATCAAGAAGTAAGCTATGTGATAACAAGAATTTTTTAATCTAAAACAAGAAGCAAATACTGTAGATATCTATACTATTTAGTTTAAAAAGCTACAAAAGAAGGTGAATTCAGATCCAGCATATTAGTTCTCTAATCTTTTCATTGTTTAGCTTTTTATTAAAAGATTATAATCAAAATATGCAATTCCTGTTTAAGCATTATTACTAAAAAACTTAGAAGTAGCTATCACTACTACTAAACAATAAAAAACTAGAAAGTTAATAGCTTTATCAAAAAACTCTGTAATAAATACTATTAGTAATCTTACTAGCTGTTTTGACAAATTGGCTATCAATATGGTTCAACAGTAACCAGAAATCTAACCAAAACCTGCTTATACAGCTAAACAATAGTATTGTAATAATAATATTATAATGATAGTAATAATTGTATTGCAATAATAATATGTATAAAGTTTTCTGTAACAAATTTGTATTTTCAATAAACAAAAATCAATATATAAAGAAGTAATATTTATAAGTTAAAATTTTTATACTATTTAGAAAGCTAACACTTATTATGTAAATTCAATCTCCCTCCAGCGTCAGCTATTTGACAATAACAGGTTCTAAAGTAATTATAGTGAAAACTTTTATGATTAGTTATTTTAGAACTTGCAATTGTTAAAAGATTGATTACTTTAGAACCTATTATTGTCAAATAGCTGATGCTAGAAGTGGGTTGAATTTATGTAATAAGTATCAGCCCCCTTATTACTTTTAAAAACTATGGATAAATTTGTAATTCAACAAAGCGTTAAAACTTCAAATAAATATGAAAAAACAATAAAAGTAGTGATAAGTCAAGTGAAAGTAATCAAGAACAAAAAGATTCTAATATTAAAAATAAATCTTATAAAAAAGTTTGTACTTATTAGAATCCAAATTTTATTAAAATCTATCCTTGGATTGAAAAACATGAAGATGAAAATGGTGTAATTACTGTATTTTGTTCTTGGTGTAAAGTAGCAAAAAAAGTTAATCAGTTTATGACAGATATACAGTCTTTACAAAAACAAACATTTGAAAGACATCTTGCAACTAATGATTATTGAAAAGCAATTAATCAAGATAATCAACAAACTATGATTATGCAAGGGTTTACTTGACAATTAAATACTCAAAAATTAAAAATTATATCATTAATGTGAAATATTTATTATCTTTAAAAAATAATCAAGCTATAAAACAATATTCAGCTTTATATCAATTAGAACAATTGCAGTTAAAAAATCGTAATGAACTTTATTTTAAAAAGATCCTGTTATATTAAAACCAGTTGATAAAATATCTAGTCAAAATATACAAGAATATGCTTTATATAAAAATCTAATATCAGGACATATATTTTTTGCATCAATAATATTTATTATAGAATACGAAATTATTTAAGAATTGGTTAAATCAAAAAATTGAAGTATTTTAATTGACGAAAGTACTTCATTTACTGCTAAACATCTTGCAATCGTAACTAAATATCTTACTAAAAATAAACCAGTTTTGTAATATCTTGGAATAATTAAACTTAATAATTGTGATACAAAATTAATTAGTAAAGATCTTGAAAGGTTTATAATTGCAAAATCTCTTAATATTAAAAATCTATCTTATTTTGGAAGCGATGGAGCTAGTATAATGCTTGAATATCAAACTAGTATTGCTGCTCGACTTAAAAAATTTAATTCTTATTTTACAGAAAATCATTGTATAGCATATCAATTACATCTTGCTAATCAAGATGCAGCAAAACAAGTTTCATATTTTAAAAAATATGATACATTAGTTAAAGAATTTATTTATATTTTAGTAGTTCTTACAAATGATTATTAACTTTAAAAATGATACAAAATACTTTAGCAGAACCAGAGCTTGTATTATTAAATATTGTATCTACTCACTGGTTCTCATTTTCTAATATTATTTATAATTTTTATCAGAATTTAAAATCAATTAAAGGGGCTTTATTAGAAGAAGCAATAACTAATCAACAAGCTGCTTCTTTATTAGCAGATATTGATCAAGAATTTGAAATCATAACTATATTTTTAGCTAATTATTTTTTTATAATAAAAAAGTTAATATGAATTTTTCAATTTGATTATGTTTTATTTACTGATATTTAACGATATATTACTATAATGATTAATACAATTCAAGCTCAATTTATTGGTAGCAATAAGGCTTTACCTACTTATAGTCTAAATTTACTTGAGTATATAAAAAGTAATAATTTAAATGCTTATCAACTTCTAATATTTATTTCTAAATTTGTATTAGCAACTATTGAAAGTCTCAACAATCACTTTCCAAACCAAGAATTATATAATGTATTAAAAATTTTTGATCCAGAGCAATTGCCAAAATTAGATAGTGAATTATCTAATTATAGTAATGAAAAAATTAAATTTCTTAGTGATTTTTATAGAACAGAAAAAATAGTTAGTAGTGAAAAGTTTAAACTATTACTTAACAAACAACTATTAGTTAATGAATAGGGAATAGTTAAATTTTTTCTTAAAAATTATCGATCATTTAAATTTGTTGATATATAAAATCTTATTTTTACAAAAATATCCTTTCTTTTTGACTTTCCTGCTACCTCTATTTTAGTATAAATTTCTTTAATTATTCCAGTTTCAAATATTATAATCAAAAGAGTTTTTTCTTGACAAAACCTTATAAAGACCTAACTTCATAATCAAATGAGTATTGATACACTTAATGATCATTTGATAGTAGCTCTAAATAGGCCTTCTATTAATTTATTTGATTTTGAAAAAACCTATGATCATTAGTCTTTAAAAGAGCATAGAATTTAAATTAAAATCAATTTTAAAAATAAAAAAATAATCATAAATTAATAAAATTTTAAACAGATTTTCATCTCAACCTTTTATCGCCACTTATTAAAACTTTATAATTATTGAAGTAAATAGCATTATTGCTTAAGTTTTTCTATATTTTAGGATTTTAAAAAAATTTCTAGTAAATAAATATTAGAAACCTTAAATATTATTATCTATAATATACTATATAATAATTGTAAATAAGTAATAACAAGCAATAGAGGTAGTGAATTAATTTGCAAAATTTTTAATTAATAAAATTGATAAGGTAATTAAGTATTAATTGAGACTTTGTTTACTGTAGCAACTAAGTGCACTACAATTTTTAGTAAATCAGTAAAAGTAATATTTAAGCAATCTCAATTATATATATTGTTGCGGCTGATTATAAAATTGGATTATTGTGAAATTTGGGGTCTCAATTTAAAAATATAGGCCCTACCAAAATCTACCAATACTCTTTTATTAAAAACTCTAACCCTAAATCCTAACTCAACTATAAAAAAAAGCCTACAAAAAAGGCCCAAAAAAATTTAAAAATCGTACATGAAATAGATCCAAATTTCACAATAATCTGATTTTATAATTAGCTGTGATATATATTAATATTCATGCTTATTATAACCTCATTAACTATGAATATAGCTTGGTGTAAGAATAGTAAAGCACAGTCAATTCTAATATGAAAATAAGAGTTTTTGATTACTATTGGCATTTTTTTAATATGAAAATAAAATGTATATAATTAATTTTTTATATATTTTTTTATGACTCTACTGTACTATATTTGATACCTAAATTATTTATATCAATTACATTATAATTATTCATAATTATTACATATTTTTTATATATTAATATCAGTATATTTATATCATTAATTATTAATCAAATTAATTACTCTCTGATCTGGTTCTATAATAGAGATAATTTACTTATTATATAAAAGTTAAATCACATTATACGACAATTTAGTATGTTATTAGTTGTAAGTATATATTATTAGTAAATTGTCACATAGTATAATATAACTTTTACATAATAAGTAAATTACCTTGCCTATCTTCATTCTATAACTTTAATTGACAATTCTCTAGTGAACTAAAGAATTTTTTTTTTGGTGTTAAGGTGGCCTCTTGGCCGGCTCCTTTTATTCGGTTATAGTTAACTTTTACAATATGCGTT